CAAGTAGGTTTACACATGCAAGGAATTTGCTTTGGTGTATGTGGTGCATACGATAAAGAATAATACGTAGCTAAATTAAATAAAAATAGAGCCGTTATGACAGCTATTAAAAAAAACAACTATTTTGAGACATTTCTAACCAATTAAAAATAAAGACAATATTAACTCAAAATATAATTATGTGAGAAACTGAGTACAGTCAAATATAATAAAATATGACAAACACTATATACCATATTTAAAGTGGAGAGCTGTGCTGATTTAAAATGGGTAGTGTGGAGAAGAAATGTGCAACGTGTGCAGGACTTATCATTTTAAAAAGTGCATTAATGTATAATGTTGTTCTGTTGTGGGTAATAGTCAGTGTCATATCAATATCGTCATTAAAACAAATATTGGAGGGTTTGCTAACTTTGCTACGACCATTTTAATAAATAATCCTCAACATTGTGGGTTTATTGACTAAGTTGGTGACGGCAAATAACGGAAGAAATAGAAAGAATAACATATTCATATATTTCTCAGCTGTAAGTTTAATGTCTTACAAGGGCAACTATTTTCTTACACCCTGACACACGTTTTATGCTTATTGCTTAGCCCAGTGGTTTTCAAACTGTGGGGCGCGACCCCTGGTGGGTCGCGGAGGTACTGTAGGGGGGGCGTGGGAAGATTTTTTTTTAATAATTGTCTCCTTTTAGCTTTGTGAAGCACCTTGAGATGACGTTGTTTTTAAAGTGTGCTATATAAATCAAATGTATTATTGTTATTATTATTATTCAATTGTAAACAAACACTGCTCGAAAGTATCTCATTGGTCGAGAGCTGTGGGCATACTGCTGCCTTTTGCAACATCCTACTTGTGTGAGAGGCTTTTCTGCTGTTGCTGCCATCAAAACGAAACACAGATCAAAGCTGAACATTGAGAATGAACTGAGAGTGTCTGAAAACAGCAGCCCCGCTTTGAGGAGACCTGCGAGGGAAAGCAAGCGCACACAAGTCATTGATGAGCTATAGTGGAATAGGAATGGTCAAGTGATCGTTTGCAACCTGCAGTAGAAATAGTAATATATTTTCCTTAAAGAAATTTGAATTTAAAATCTACTACTCAGGGAAGAAAGCAAACCAGTTTTAATTAGGCCAAATTAATTCACAGTATCTTACAAGCACTTTTGTTCATGTCTAATCCGTAATCAAATATAAAATGATAGTTGGATCTTTGTATCTTCTTATTATTAGCAGAGAAAATGTTATGTTTTTACAACAATATACAATTAATCCTACCAATATAGATGGGAACCGGGTTGGGGGGGTCCCGAAAATATTTCCAATTACCCAAGGGGGGCCCGACTGAAAAAGTTTGGGAACCACTGGCTTAGCCTTTGTGTAACCGATGATGTTGAATTCATCGTAATTACAGCAGGATATCATGGAGCTTGTCTTCCTTCGATGTGTTTCTGTTTTGTAGGAATGTCCTCCTGCGATGTCCTTGGACAGACTAACCACTGAAAATAGTCAGCCTGAATCTGACTGTGTGTGTGTGTGTGTTTTCCAGAACAACAGGACAGTATGGCCACCACTGTTGCTGTCAGTCCCAGTGAATACCTTCAGCCCTCCAACGTTTCCATACAAGTGAGTAACGTCCAGATGTAGAGTCCCACTTCCCTCTACACTCTGGCTTCTCTCTGCTGACGTCATTACCTCAGTTCACCCACGATGCGTTCATGACGCTGAACAACTAGAGGGACGTGTTCCTGCCAGGATCCAACTGAGTGATAGATGTCCCCCTTTTTTAAATGATAGAAACAGATTCATAATAACAATAATAGATTACATTTGTATAGCGCCTTTAAGGGACCCAAGGCTACTTCACATGGTGAACAAACAAGAAGGGCAAATAATAAAGTACACATTAAATAAATAGCAGTAGGAGTGGAAGCAGGGCGACTGTGATGGGTTAGGGGTCAAAGGCCATGGTGAGCAGGTGAGTTTTTAATGATGACTTGAAGATAATACACAATCAATGTTGTAATATTTCATATCTGAGCTGAGTGTTGGGCTTTAGGAAACAGTATATGTGTTAAACGAAATAATCCTGGCTTTTTTTAGGTGTTCAAACGGCAGTGAGGCTATCAATAAAATGTCATTTAATATTGAAGATAAGTAGAGTATATTAATTAAGGCTGTGGTTATTCATTTAAAATAACAAGAGGGTCTTGGTGTACCCGGCTGGTGATCAGGAAAGATCAAAACATTTTCAGTCAGGATTTAAAGGCATCCACAAAGTTCTTTAGGAGATCCTTTTAGCCTCTTATCTCCCCTTATCTCTCTGATACTACTCAAGCTGTTTTTAGTGCATATGGCAGTGAGACTTCAATATAATCTGAGCTTTTGATTATCGTAAATTATATAATATTAGTTGTTTTCTTATATATAACAAGTTTAAGGTTAATAATTTCAATGCAAAGATCATTCAGTAACACCATAACAAGATTGAGGTGTTTTTGGCCTATTTTAAAGGCATCAACAGATCTTTCTTTCCCACAGTGCTGTAGGAGATTCTTTTAGCCTCTTATCTCTCTGTAAGTGTGTCTAATCATGCTGGTTTTACTGCCTGCTGTGTGTGTTATGTCTGACTGGAAGTGTTTGTCTCCCTGCAGGACCACCAGCCCTCTCCTCTCGCCCTCCTTGCCGCCACCTGTAGTAAAATCGGCCCTCCTGCTGCTCAGGCTCCCGTCACTTCTCCTCCAGCTCAGCCTCAGCCTCGCCGCCTCCTCCCCATAAAACCTGCTCCCATCGCCCCCGCTCCTCCCAAAAACCTGGGCTTCCTCTCAGCCAAGGGCAATGTGATCCAGCTTCCTGCCGGCCTGGGCTCCTCGGCGCCCGGCAGCCCCATCGTGCTCACAATCCAGCAGAGCCCGGCCCGAAGTAACAACTCTGCACCCGCCAATATCCAGTACCAGATGATGCCTCAGATCCAAGGGGCTCAGACCATCCAGATGATGCCACAAGGAGGTCAGATCCAACTCATACCGGGCACAAACCAGGCCATAATCACCACTCCCATGACGGTACCTTCCCAAAACGCTGCCAACACTCCCATCACACCACAGAAGAGTTTAGCTATCAAACCCTCCCCCAGATCGCGGAAATCAAACAACTCCCACGTGGTGCAGCTGCCCGGCGGGATCACGCTGCCGCTCAGCGTGGCGACGGGAGAGATGGGCGGGACTCAGTTTATCACGGAGACAGCAGCGGCTCCAGCGAAGGGGAGAAGAGGCAGGAAGAAGAAGATAGTTCTGAATGCTTATGCTCCGCCTCCTGCTCAGCCTCCCTCTCCAACATCAGAGATGGAGACCATACTGATCGAAGCTGGAGACAACATCATCCAGGTACATGTGGCAGAGAAGCTTTCATTTCAAACCTTTATTTATGCAGGTGAATCCCATTGAGATCATTGATCTCTTTTTCAAGGGTGACCTGCTGCAAGTAGGTTCCACATGAATACATATACATAACAGAAAAACAAAAAGGACATCATACAGTATATTTACAGCGACTACAGTTTACATAGCTAGTAACATTTACAGGTTCCAACAGTTTCCGATTGGATAGCATCTATCCGTGCTTTAAAAACATTTAGTGGAACCAAATTGCTTCCATTCCTTTTGCAGACTGTTCCAAGACAGCATCTAAAAGCTATCTTCCCTAAGACAGTCCTAGCAGTTGGCACATTTAATAAAACCACAGCATGCGATCTCGGCAGTAGCCACTTACAATTCGCCGTGAGATCTTAACGAAACACAAACAGTATCTTTGATAGCATATGATTAACTCCAGGTTCACTCGCCTGGGAGACGATGTGTATTTAGCCAATATCTAAATGTTGGTGGAGCTAAAGGACTGAATACGTCTGTGACATTTAATTGAAAATGTGGGACAAAGCCAGGAAGTGAACCCTGAGTTTAGAAGACGTTTTTGGTCCAACACAAATTTGCATTATACGATGATATGAAACAAAATAACTTTGATGTAACATATTTCCTTTTATTATTATATGATTATTGTACATTTTCTGTTAATTAGCAAATCAACAAATTGACCAAACATAACTCTATTTAACTGTTGGAAGAAAAATAGGATTAAAGTTATAATATACATTATCTTTCTTTGCGTCTTTACCATGGCAACTACTGTACAACTATTTTGGTTAAAACTCTCCTCCCTGAAAAGCATCGTTCCCAGCTGCGTTAGCACAAACTAAACCGTAAACCCACTGTATGTAATGTGAAGTTAACGGAATATTAAGCCACTAAAGACTTGGAGATTATCCTCTTGAATTGGGAAAAACAAAGCTAGAAGGAGAAGAGTGAATATAGAATTGAAATGCTTCTATTATGACATACACACCAGTGTATTTACAGCTTGTTCAGACCTCCAAAAGACGTGATTAAAAGTGGTTTACTGGTGGCAGAGATGCCATAACTGAACTCCATCCCAACATCCCTTTTATAAATCTGCAGCCTTGATCCAAACACACTGAATGTGTCCCCCTTCAGTTGGTGGTTAGGGATGATGGCCCCGCCGCTCCACTGGCTAAACGCCTCCCAGACTAACCCCTCTGTATTTCCAGGCGGGAAACAACCTCCTGATCGTCCAGAGTCCTGGTCAGCCGGCCATGGTGCAGCAGGTCCAGCTGGTTCAGTCCAAACCGGAGTCTCAGGTGGTTCAGATCCCCCAGCAGGCTCTGAAGGTGGTGCAGGCTGCATCCGCCACATTACCCACAATCCCTCAGAGACACTCAGCCCCCTCGAGCCTGCAGGTCACCCAATCAGAGCCAACGCCAACACAGGTAACCAGGTTTTTTTTCTAGAAAAATATAGTATAAGGAGGCACTTTCTATTCATTCATTGGGGCGGTTTTGGCGCAGTGGTTAGAGCGTTGGTCATCAGATCAAGGGGCGTTGGTGAACTCCAGTTCGAATCCCGCCTCGGCCGCCACTGCGTCAGGCCGTTGTGTCCTTGGGCAAGACACTTTACCCACATTTGCTCCTGTGGGTAATGTCCGCAGTAATGACTCTTACATGTCTAATATGTGTAAAGCGCTTTGAGCACCTGTAAAAGCGCTCTAATAAAAAATGTAATGCATTATTATTATTATTCAGGGCTCCGTAAAAACCAAGCTGTCTATTGGACACGATTGTCCTATTTCTGGAGTAATAATGCCGGTTTGACCAGAAGAAATATTGTTTTCTGGCATCAATTTAACATTTCACGGGAAATTGGCATTTTGGTTTGAGGGGCACGCCCCTGTTACCCGGTTAGACCCTGATATGAAATTCTACTAAAGGTTTGAAGCTAAGTTGCTTTACATTTTTCATTTATTTGACCAGGAACTCCCAAGTGAGATTGAACGTTTCTTGTATGGACAATCCTGGCCATGGTTTTCTGCCTTACTAAGTCACAGTATATAAAATAAAATACATAAATATACACTGATACAGAAGAACAGCTGTTTAAAACAGTGGCCATTCACTTGAAAACAACCTAATCACGTACGTCCTGGCTGTATCACTGCATGATGGTAGATTTTTTGTTTTTTTCAAATGGGAACGGAGAAAGACCAGGATAAAAGATTATACATCTTAAGATATTATATATTAAAATGTCCTTCTTCCACCTTCCATAGCTCTTTCACCCATGTTCAATTGTATGTAATTTATATTTCTCCTTTTCAAGTTACAAAAATCACTATCCACTTGTTTTATGGATTATTTTCGTTACATTTTGAATTTGTTGTCAAGACTTCATTGTGGCCTATTCTTCCTTAAAATATGAGCAACCAAATGAACCGCTACCTTCTTCTGGTTGCACATGGTTGCATGTTTTCCCCGAGTAAAAGACACACAGTGATGTAAAGCACAAACTACAATGTGGAATCCAGTAAATAAATAAAACTCGATTTTTTTCTCTCCGTCAGTTCCTCTTCAAAACAGCATCAGGTGAGTGGCAGACGGTTCATCTCCAGGACTCGGTCTCCACCTCATCGACCCAAACCACTGCGGTCGTCACCAACTCCCCGCCGCAGGCCAGCATCAAGAGGACGCTTCAGGGCGGGAAGAAGGAACGAACTCTGGCTAAAATCGCTCCTGCGGGGGGAATGATTTCGTTAAACACGTCTCAGCTGACTTCAGCGACGCAGGCCGTGCAGACGATCAGCATCAATGGGGTCCAGGTGCAGGGAGTTCCTGTCACCATCACCAACGCTGGAGGTGAGCTGATGATCTTCTATTTGTTGTATACAGAGGTGGGAAGTAGTGGAGTACAAATACTTTGTTACTGTACTTAAGTACATTTTTCTGGTATCAGTACTTTACTCCACTACTTATTTTTCTGACGACTTCTTACATGTTGAACCCAAATACCTGAACTTTCTACTTCTCACATGTTGAACACAAATACCTGAACTTTCTACTACTCTTTAAAGCAGCTGCTAGTTATGGGTACTTTTTACTGAAGTACATTTCAAAGCCTCTTTACTTTGACTTGAGTAAAGAAGTTTAGTCAGTATTTCTACTTTTACAAGTATTTTTAAACACGACTATCTGTACTTCTACTTGAGTAAAGGATGTGTACTTGTGCCCTCTCTGGTTGTATATAACAAGTACTAGTTCTCTATCTTAACAAGTGACATTCCAGAAAGATAAGATGTAAAAACAAAACAATAAACCAGCATTAGAGAGTAAGACAAATATACAGATGACCGTGAAGCAGTGTTTCCGCCAGACCAGGGCTGAGAGGGCGTCCACCCCGAGGGGGGGGGGGGGGGTTTGGCTTGAGCCGTCCCTTATAGATACTGTCTTTTTACGTTAGTGAGCCGGATCATTTGGCTCGGCTCTCTTAAAGCGCCGGCTGTTTCGGTTCCCAAGCGGCTCTTCATGTTACCACAGTTTACCACGGAGCCTCAGTTTCGCCGCTGCGAGGCTCCGGCGCTCGCAGCTCACGCGCGTGCTCCACTCCGCGTGCTCCACTCCGCGTGCTCCACTCCGCGTGCTCCACTCCGCGTGCTCCACTCCGCGTGCTCCACTCCGCGTCTAAATCGTGCACGTTCCGTGTTGTTGTCCGATGGCAGGCACCGCCGATGTCGGGGAACCGATCTTCAATACTCTGAAAATAATCCCACCAGACTCCTTTGCCCCTCCAACAGAGGGATGTCCTTGTCCTTTTTCCTTTTCGTTATTTCAAGCGATAAAAACTCTCGATCTTCTCTCGAATTATTAATATTGTTGGACGCCCTCGGCCCGAGTTCAGGGCGTCCCGAGCTGAATAAGGGCGTCAAATGACGGCAAGACGCCCCCCTGGCGGAAACGCTGCCGTGAAGATAACTCTGACAAATAAAAACTCTATTGAAGAGCCACTTTTCTGTTAACACAATATACACAACATAAGCAGGATATTATTTACATAAAGTGCGCATGGAATGAAATATTCAATTAAATATAAATCTGAAATGTACAGTGTGAGTCTGTGAGCAGGGCTTCATTAGAATCAATCAGAATTGGACTCAAAACATGTATTTATCCTGGGGGGATATATGGTTTCGTTACAGTAGGATGAAATAAAATAAAACATATTATTACAAATAATGACAAATAATAATGAAGGGTCCTTGTGCTGATGCGCCACTGTCCATAATACTGAGACCACAGGATGGAGGAGATAGACAGATGGACAGAACAAGTGTCAGTTTTTCACTTAGATTGTCTTTCGTGGTTGTAAATGGAAACGGCTTACATGGATCAAGAAGCTACGGAGATAATGATTACTATGCCAATGCTGTTTCAATATTGGGGTTAAAGCAATCAAGTAGAACATGTTATTTTTTAAGATTGTATACATATAGAAAGTATTTTTAAAGCTACAGTATCTACATGTTTCCCCTAAATGTTACTCCCTTGATACTTTGCCTTGAGGTTATCTGTCTGATTCTCTTCTTGCTACTTACAGCTAGGGTTGGGTATCGTTTTAATTTCCACGATTCTGATTCCGATTCTACTTTTCGATTCCGGTTCTTAACGGTTCTCAATTCCGATTCTTTGAGGGGCAGGGTAAAAAAAATGATTACGTTCTTGTTGAGAAAAACAAGCATATCTGCCTCTCAGGCATACCGGGAAGAAATGTTTGAACATTTTAAAGCAAAATGCTTCAATCTGGTGCACTTTAAGCAGAATGACTAGAGACTAGATCTAGGGGGTACAACTCTAAACACCCATATGAAAAAGATCGGTTTACATTTTAATTCCAAATAAGTATGTGAACATAACCAATAACCTACCATAGCCAATAACAAATACATGTAACTTATTTTATGTTTGTTGTTCATTCATATCTTATTTTACTATTTTATTTATGCATATTTTTTTATCTCTCCAGTTTAAAAGGATATGTCTGGTTTACTGTCCTATAGTATACATTGGAATGATTTCAAACCTGTTTATCCCAATAATTATAAAGGAGTGCCTTGGAAATAAATTGTGATCAAACCGTTTGAGACCCACTGAGATAACTTAGACTAAAGTGAACTATCTAAACACTCAGAGTCCTTTACCTCACTGAGCTGTAGTTATCAGCCTCTCAGTCTGACTGGAGAGGACTCTCCCTCCACATCATTGTAGAAACATCTTCTTCTTCCGTTAGAGCAGCTAGCACCAGATTCTAATAACAACAGCGCCGGTTCCAGTGCACCCTCCCTTTCTCACTCGCACTTTGGCTGTGAGCTGCGGGCGCCAGATAAGCCAACATCCCCCATTTTCATCACTTACAGCGCCCATCGTACAGGGCGAATGAAACGTGTAACCGGGGTGAAAAGGGTGTTACATTTACTTAATTGTGAATGTTGTTACATCAAGGCCGAACATTAGGATGAGCACCAACGGTCAAAACATTTGTTTTCCCTCCCAGAGCTGTCAGCGCAGCGCCTCCCCAGATCTGGCGCCCTAGGCGAACATCTATAACGCCAGTGCGACGGGCCGGCCCTGGTCCCAGGTTACGCTGTAGGAAGCGTAGGTCAAACGCTACATTTCCCGCCCCGCCGAAGTCATACAGTAGGCTACGGAGAGCGGCGAGAAACATTTCCTCAGGTATCGAAAAGCGGAACCGAAATTCACATTTCTAAATGATGCCGTTGGAATCTAAATGTTGAACCGGTTCTCGGTACCCAACCCTACTTACAGCTGATGTTGCTTGCACAATAAAGTTATGAAAAACATATGTATCATCAAAACCACAAAAGGAAAACTCCCTGAAATCAATCCCACGAGATGCAGCAGTGGAACATTTTATTCCTCAGGCGATCTTGTGTATCTAATCAAATCAAATCAAATCAAGTTTTATTTATAAACGATTTTTGGTGGAGCCAAAGTGCTGTACATATAATAAAAATAGCCTACAGTAGAGACACTTTACAGCAAATACAACAGCACAGATTGTTCAGAATATCAGTATGAGAAAAACGACACCCTCTGTCCTCAGACCCTCTGTCCTTAGACCCTCTGTCCTTAGACCCTCACATCGTACAAGGAAACACTTCCAGAGAAAACCCACAGTTTAAAGGGAACATGGGAGAAACCTCAGGGAGAGCAACAGAGGAGGGATCCCTCTCCCAGGACGGACAGACGTGCAATAGATGCCGTGTGTAAATCGAAGAGATAATACATTTTACAGCATATAGACCGAATGTTAGGAAATGCATGTGTCTGTAATAAGAAGATGAATCCACGAGGATGTCAGCTACAATCCTGTGGAAGCCATCAGGGAAGCAGCATGACGAGACCCAAGGCAGGACCGCAGAGACAGGTTCAGCCACGACCCGAAGTCCACGACTTAATCCAGAACTCAGGATAGAGGATCCAAGACACAGGACTACAGCAAGAGGATCAGCCTCGACTCCGGATCCCGGCGTAGATATAGATACAAAACAAGAAGAAAGATTTGGCTGGGTTAATCGGAACAAGAGAATACACAGACACAGACAGAGAGGGAAAAGGTCATTGGATACAAGTTATTCTTGATAACCCTCTAGAAAGATCTCATGAACTTCCCCACTCAATCTATCAAGAGCAGTTCTATTAGATATAGATAAGAAACAGAGATAGGGAGCACAACAAGTGTAGTCTGCTCAAACAAAGAGAAACAGTCATGGCTGACGAAAACAAATACAATGTTTAAACTCTTTGCTTTCTCGTGTCACTATATTCATGGTACCATTAATCCCTAATTAGAAGTTCAGTCCACGTTGCCTCATGACAGTCAGCTCACATAAGCTACAGTGTAGAAATGGCAATGACATTCTTCTGACCTGAGCTCCTCAACAATGCAACATAGATAATCAAATAAAGTAGATAGCAAGATGACAAACAGATGAATGTTTACCGGGGCACTTCACAGAGCTCAGGTGTTTAATAGTCGTATTGCCTGTGGGATAAATATGTCCCTGAGTCTGGTGGTTTTGGTCCGGATGCTACGGTACCGCCTGCCGTTTTGTAATATGCAGAACAGCTGGTATCGTTCATCAGATTTAAATACTGAAAGTCCTCTTCCAATATGAGAGTAACATGCTAACAAAGGTATCCCAACTGCAGCTGTGAACATGACAGGATGTGTGATTACCTGGAAGAGCATCAGGACTGTTTGAGGCATATGATAGCTATGTGATTAACATGATGATTCAGCCTCTATGGAGAGAGACATCAAGCATGCTCATTTCTGACGTGGAGCTAATATGAACTGGGAGGCTGTGGCTCAGTGGGTAGTGCGCTGAACTTCGAATCAGGGGGTAGCAAGTTCGAGTCCCACTGCAGTCAGCATGTCGTTGTGTCCCTGGGCAAGGCACTTCACCCCAAATTGCTCCTGTGGGGATCGCCCACAGTACTGAATGTATGTAAGTCGCTTTGGATAAAAGCGTCTAACAAGTGACATGACATGAACTAAACATTGAATACTGCTTTATTTTCCTCCATCTTGTGACTGATTTTGAGATTTTGAGAAAAAGTCAGAATTTAGAGAAAAAGTCAAAATTGAGAGAATTTGAGAAAAAGTCAGAATTTAGAGAAAAAGTCAAAATTTGGAAAAACTCAGTATTTTGTAAATGACAGGATGTATGATGACCTAGAAGGGCTATTCAATTACACATTCAGTTGGACCAGATTTTATAACTACAAAATTCAGCTGGGCCAGACATTCAGCGGCCTGTAAAAAGCTTTATTACTGCGAT